AGGCATCAAGTGGGAGACTGTGTAAATATTTCCACGTTATAGTAACAATGCAGGGAGGAGATTTGGAAACCACACCCCGAGCGTGGGGAGGTGATCTACAGACTTTGGAAAGACAATACGGGTCTGGTATCTGGGGCTTCATCAAAAACATCTTTGGAGGTGCACAGGCTGAGGAGCTTCGAAAAAGAATGCAAGACCCCGAACAAGGCCAAAAGCTCACCCAGAGGGGTGGGCTTGGGATGGGGGCGATGTTAGGCATGTCGCTTCTTCCCATGCTCTTGGGTCGAGGTCAAGACGGCGAGTCCATCAGACGTCAGATGGTAGCCGGCCGTGAACCCATGATGCAGCGAGGCGGACTGAGCATTCCACCGGGACTCGTGGCTAAAGCCCTACCCATATTGAAAACCGTTGGTGCACCCTTAGCTATGGGGGCGCTAGCGTCCGTCGGTGACAATCTGGTGGACAAGGTATTTGGCCGGGGTCGAAAGGGAAATAGTAGAAAAAGCAGTACTCGAGCAAGCAAGAGACGATCTCAGAAAAGACGATCGAAGCTACCACCCACTAACAAATTCTCCAGGGGGCAACGTGCAAGGAAGCGCAAAGGACACGGTTTGAAGAGGGAGGTTGAAGGTCTGGGAAGGCAGCTGTTTGAACATGCAAAGTCGAGAGTACAGTCCGGCATCAAGTCAGGAGCTAAGAAGAGAGGTAGAAGACGACGATCCTCAAACCCTCCAGAAACCATTACTGACCGTATCCGAACTCGCATCGAAAATACCCATAACCCTTCGTTTATACCTCAGAGCTTTAACATTTAATTTTTTCTCGTTATAGTAAGTATGGACTTTTCATCGCTGCTGTCTCTGAAAGGAGGGTCTGCCTCTTTACTCCGCGTAGCAGGTCTGTCTCTACGATCTCAACCCAAGTACTCTGAGATTCTCCCCTCCCTCCAAACATGGGGACAAAATGTGCTATTTCTGGGTCAGAGCAGCATGGGGAAATCCCATTACCTCAAGGAAATACTTCGAGCGGTAAAGCCGGAACGACTTTACGTCATCTCCAATACTTCACCGGAGCAATACAGGCAGGAAGGCACGGAGTTGAAACATTACAGTGCAATGCCTGAGTGTATCGAAGAGACGGACATTCAGCCCAAGTCCTTTGTCATTATAGATGATATACGTGTCATGGGACTGAAGCATGGCAGTCAGAGGGAATGTCTTTACAAGTTTTTCACCATGTATAGCCATCATTATGAACTTAATGTGTTCTTTCTCTCTCAAAGCTTTGATAACATCAAAGATATGAAGATAAATACCAACTTCCTCTATCTTTTTCGCTTTACAGATAAATCCAACATCAAACGCTATCTTCATACTTTATTTGGCGGATCCTGTTTGAAAGCTAATCTTGTCTATAAACTCTATGAAAAACTATTAGAAGCTTGTTGGAGACCCTTTCTAGCGGTCGATGCATCACGCAATGAGTTTTATACTCACTGTGATTCCATAACCTCGAAGGTTGTGTTTGAATAAAATATTTTCTGCCTATAGTAAGTATGGATGGTGTCAGTGTTCGCATTATACCCACCCACAGTGAGTGGGATGCGGTTACCGTCACTAAGATTGGAGACACCTGGGAGGTCACATTCCCTAGAGTAAAACTAATTGTCCAAATCGAATCCGAAGTTGATAGTTTTGAGTGGATTGCTGGCTGTGAAGCACGGGGGGTAGGAGTGGATGAGATTGATTAAGCCCGTTGTACAGAAATGGAGCGAATACGGGTGCACTTCCAACCTATCTGCATCGAGTACAACGGCCGTACTCACCCAATACCACCAGAGAAGAGAGACGAGACCATGAAGATGATATTACAAAACCCCCAGGATATCCTGAGTAAAGGTGACACCATGTGGGAGGTTCAAGGTACTCCTCCAGTACGAGGTGGAGATTATAAGAAATTTTCCGGGCAAGTGAGAGAAGCACTGATCGCCCATTTCCTATCTCCCAAGTGAAATCAAACCCTCGAGTAAAGGCTATGTATGATAGAACATTTAAGAACAATCCGGATCTGATAAACCCATCCTCGGTTACTAATGCTGTTGCATCGAATCTCCTCGATTATGATCAGAGTTCTGGAATGGCAAGAGGGTCCATAGCAGAGGCTAGAATGAGGCGAAACATCTCTGCCGCTAGTATCCCACTGCAAACCGCCATGGAGCCAAAGTTTGATAGAATAGTGATAAATACATTTGGTAAACTCCTAGTAGACCATAAGATACCGGAAGCCTTTCTGCAAAGCAGCCACTTCAGTGCAAGGCCGCAACTACACCAAGTCTATCAGGAGGATGAGCAGGGGCTCAGAGGTAGAATGGAAAACACTAGAGATACCCTCGAATTTCAAATCCTCAAAGACTATGCTACTCTGGTCAACCAAATCAATCAGTTTCACCTGTCGCGTTATCCATTCCAGCAGATTGCAGCAGCAGCCAACCTTAATGCGCTTCCAAACCACTCGAGGAGTAATGTGAAATTGGCTGCAATAAGAACTCAGCTTCTAGCCATACCAGGATCCGCAGACAAATATTCCGGTATAGGAGATATGATCAACGCCTACACTCGAACCAAAGAAGCAAAACTTATCAACGCAGAACAATTTATGTTAGGTCTCAAAGAGTACATGGCTGATGATGCCACCTTTATCAAAAGTGTCTTCAAGAATCGGCAAGTGGCTAGCAATACAAGGAGTCCCTATTACCGAACACTTGCTATTCTGAAAGGAAAATCCCTGGTATACTAGGTATGGATGTGGAGCTGAGCAACGTGGACATCGAGTCTGCGCTGAAACACATTCGCGGGTTCCGAGGTGTGACTAGCTACGATCTCCTGCCTGCCTTAAACCATGGCGAGTTTTGTGTGTGTAACACGGACAACATACTCCCGATATTGGACAAACCCGAAGGGGGACACCATTGGCTGACGGTGTGTAGGGAAGGCGATAATGTTCTGATATTTGACAGCTTCGGGCGTGCATTGATGCAGATGGCCGAAGACTATAAAGAACCGGAACTAAAACAATGTTTTCTTAATGTTTATTCCGGCTGCAACCTGTACACCAATACGCAAGTCATTCAAGATAGAAGCACAGCGGTCTGCGGACGTTATGCCATCCTGGTAGCGAAAGTCTTCTCAAAGACTGGTATAGACGGAGTATTGGAATTCCTCTCCTGTACGTTCTCTCACGATACCCTTCACAACGATCAAGTCATGGTTGGTGGGGATTGGCAAGATGATCTTGCTGATGAGCTACATAAACCTAAGCGAGTACATTTCCCACGCAGAAAAGTGGACGTTTACGGCAAGGACGATGTATGGAGTGCTGATCTCGTAGAAATGCAGCCCTTTAGCGAATATAACGAAGGAATTAGATATATTCTCAATGTTATAGACATATACACGAAGTATGCTTGGAGTGTGCCACTTAAGAGCAAAACCGGGGATAGTGTTGTCTCAGCCTTTAAAACCATCACAACCAATCGGAAACCTAAGCTACTATGGGTGGACCATGGCTCGGAATTTTATAACAAAACGTTCAAGGAGTGGTTGAAGAAAAACGACATTCACATGTACAGTACAGAGAATGAAGGAAAAGCCGTCGTCGTTGAACGTTTCAACAGAACGCTAAAATCTCGTATGTGGAAGCACTTCACCGCTCGCTCGACCAACGTCTACATCGATGTGCTGCAAAAACTTGTCGACAACTACAACAATAGTAAACACCGTACAATTGGGATGACCCCCATGGAAGCCTCCCTAGGGAAACCGATTCAGCAACTGTATGAGCCCATTGCGGATGAGCCTGTCTTTCAAGTCGGAGATAAAGTTCGCATTACAGTGGAAAAAAGAATGCTTGCGAAGGGATACACACCCAACTGGACCGAAGAGGTATTTGTGATTCGTAAGGTTCTCCCCACTTATCCGGTCACCTACAAAGTGAAAGACCTTGCCGATGAACCCATCACAGGAAGCTTCTACAAACAGCAGCTCATGAAGACTGAGCAAGCTACATTTCGAATCGATAAGGTGTTGAAAAGACGTAAGGGTAGTTTGCTGGTCAAGTGGAAGGGATACCCCGAAAAGTTCAACCAATGGGTATCGCAGAAAGAAATGAGGTATATTTCCAAGGATAGTAGTAGAGGGAAACGATGATGCAGTGCACAATGCAGACTACTGCAAGAAATCTGCTTTCTGCTGTTATTGCTGATCGACTGGCAGAACAAGGTCATGTAGACCTACCACAATGTGTATCGTCGCCGGAGTCGAAACCATCTCGGCTTTCTAGAGTTTTGGTACGAGTGTGTCGCTTAGTCAGGCGCAGTGGATCGAGATTTCAGGTGCTGATGCAGCAACTGTGTTTCAACTCCAGAACGGGTCGTACGCAATTTCTTACATTTGCAAAAGAACTATTTAAAAACGGTATCAGCCATGTTAAAATTGTGGCCCTGTACTTATTCAGCAGCGAGTTAGCGAACATCTGTATGGAGAATTCAACGGAACTGGGATTGCACTATGTACATCATGTCATGACCTGGCACTTAGATTACATGACCACCAATGTTTCGCCCTGGTTGGCGGAAAAAGGAGGTTGGCAAAGTTTTGAAAACACCCTTACACACGACTTCAACTGGTCAAATCGCTCAGTATGGACTCATCCCCGTTCAGCCTTTTTGGCCATAATTTTGCTCATACTAATGGTTGAATGGATGTGAGGAAAAATTCCCGGTACAGTAAGATCAAGATGGACTCCTCAAGCAATGACACCCCATCAGCCGAGCCATCAACTGCGAGCAACAGCGGAACCTATCAGAAAGTGAAGGGGCGTTTGAATAAAGTTAAACTTACTCAACAACTACTCCTGCTTGCACCAGTGCTGTTCGGAGCCAGCAATGTGTTGGCAGAGAAATCCACTCAAACCTCACCAGCCGAAAGAACAAGCATCATAACTACATTCATACTGGCCATCATATGGACTTTAATCTCATTTTTATGTCATCATTGTGAGCATAAATTTACGCAAGTATATAAGCATTTTCTCAAGCTGGGGAAATATATGCCCGCAGATACTGAACTTGATCAATTTGATGATATATGGACTATGCTGCGCACACACTGCAAACCAAAGTATGTAGGGTAATATTTTATGATGCGATGAAGATTATTATACCGCACAATGCACTATATCCTGCAATATAATTGAGGCACAAGCCTGAAATATTTAACACAAATGTGGAGTGTTGGAGCCAGCTCCACATGTCAAGAAAGGAGGAATATTAGACAGAAGAATGGCGGGAAGTTTTGCATGAAAATGATGAAACATGTTCAATGTGGGGTTCTGCCCATTAAATGTCCTTGTGACCATATGCAAGTGTGGCCATGCCATCATCCAGTATATACCGCTTGCAGTCGAATGGAGACAATGCCACCTTGGTGGTTACCTCCTCATACACTGTGTGGCAATGTGATCGGAGACCCATCATAGGCCTGGCAGACACACGATGACTGAGCAGTGCATCTACATAGTCCTTGTGGGTGATGGTATTTGCCAGGACTGCCTTCCGCACACCCTTGGCCCGTTTGGCCGATTCCTGCCCGATGTAGGAGTACATCTTCGATCTTAGACCTACAAACTCCACCATGGATTTCCCACCAAGCTCATCTTTGAATTTGCCAACCACTTTCTTATTGGCAGAAGTGTACTGAGGATGGTCAGTGGGAAAGTTGCTGGTGTCATACAGAGACAGATCCATCTCTGCATAAACATCACCGGTGGTTATGTGCACAATAACAGAGTCGGTGTCGGTGTACAACAGCCGGATTCTGCTACCGTACTGCTCCTTCAGCACATCGTAGTAGAAGGAGTACATGTGCAACTTTGACAGGTCTAGTATCGACATACCCACATAGACCGGCTTGTTGAGCTTGATCTCAGTGTGCTGCTTTTCTATTCCGACAAGCCTGTTCGGGAAAATGTCGTGCCGCACATATGTAGGCTTGCTCACTGCCCTCAGTACCTGCTCCTCACTTTCTTCCCGCAAGAGATCGATGCGTGTTCGATTACGAACGTTCTCCATCGTCTTGCCATAGACTGAGTTGTTCATCAGCTGCAGCACACAAACAGGCAAACATGACACATGAGAATCATATCATGCCATTCCTTCACATCAGCATATTTTCAATTAGCATACTCCACGTCACACTTGCACCATACATGCAACAACAACAAAAACAACAACAACAATAACAACAACAACCAACAACAACATACAAGACTGCACACAACGGTTGCATTTACCTTGTAAAAGCTCTTCTCAAAGTCGGTTGTAGCCCTCGTGCGAAGTGCAGTGTTCAGATTGATGTAGGGAGCCATCCAGGCACTCTGCTGAAATCCCAACACCTTGTGAACAGCGGTCACCACCATGCCCAGACGTGAATACAGCTGCAGTGTACGGTAGTGTAACACATACTTGGACTTGGGTAGGAGACTGGGTGTCAACTTGACTCCATCTACGGCTGACACTTTGAGCTCCTCCACAAGTGCTTTCTGGTATGGTGATAGCTTATCTGAGAATGCTCTCATCACTTCCGGTGCAAGTGGATAATCATTGAAGTAGTGGTGCAGCGAAGAGGGTACCTCAAGATCACACTCCACAATGAACCCAGTGCTCGAATCTACAGGTTGTGCCAGTATCTCGGACAGGTTCTTGTCACACCAGGCAAACTCAGATGTCGGCATACTCTGGCACATAGCCCAGCCATACAGGTTGTTGGCATCAAGGTATAGCAGGTATGATGTGGGCTCGGCAGGATTGTACTGATCCATCGTTGGGTTGTTGGCCTTGCCGTACCGCTGCGACGCCATTGAGATGCCCCCACGTAGACCGGCTTCGACAAACAGATGCATGTCTACATCCGTGAGCAGCTGCAGTTCAATCTGGGTGAACCGTAGTAGAGCATCCCATGCATATCCTACATAACACCATGCAACACACCAGAACACAAACACGAAAGTCAATACACCATGCAAAAAGTATAAAAATACACCGACAAGAAAGCACAAGAATACTAACAGAGAACACCATCTAAAGGAGAGAATACATTGGACAACAACAAAGACTGATGAACATACCTGGGAGAGTAAGGTAATGAGCTGGATCCAACCCATACGTCTTGTATGCCGTCTTGCGGAAATGCTCAAAGACATCTGCTAGAAGATAGACATCTGTTTGCAAATAGAGGTCATGATAGGCCTCCATTGTACTGCACTCAAATGTCTGCAAAACAAACAAAAAACAGCAACGCACACACGCATGCACACATCCATACACACAAGCATCCACATATCCACAGATAGAGAGCAATGAGTACAAAAAAATGAGTAGAGCACATCACAACAGCATTCAAAAGTCATAAGTAGAGCACAATAATGCAAAAAGCATGGCATCAGGGAAATTCCGAGGGTCAATACAGAAGGCACAAGCTGCTTACCTGCCATACGTTCTGAGCATGGGCATAGTCGGCATCACTGATACCTTCTCCAGTCAAACTAGACTCAAATGCTGATTTAGGTGGCAGCTGTGTCTCATCAAACCGAGCAAAGGAGTCCATGTACTCGTAGGGGTAGACACCCTTACGCCGGAGAAGGTCATGATGGGCTAATGTACGAGTAAGCTTGAAGGCATCTTCCGGGGTGTTGCTCACCAACGAGTCCAGAGAGGAGTTCAAGAAGGCCATGGAGTCAATGAAGCGGTACTGACGCCACTTGAATGAAATATATTTCTCCATGTTGTTGGCGATGACACTGATCTCACCAACCTTCTTAATCCGCTTACGCTGGTTAGAGTCCTCGTACTCCACCTCTTCAACCTCGGTCATACCAATGTGGGCGATGAGGTGGTGGGCATCGTACCCTTTCAGGTTATGAAACACAACCGGAATGATCTGGCGATCTGGGTAGATACTTAGCTGAATATTACACTGGTAGTGTGCAGCACCACGGTAGTCGCCTGTGCAGATATTCAGAAAGAGGGGAATACACAAACATAGTAAACATCTACAGTGAAGGTGATACCACAGACAATACAATTCAATACACCGTGATAAAACACATATGCAAACAGCTACAAAGACATGAAAATGCACTATATACATCATGCGCATATCTACACACAACTGCAAAGCACATGAACAACAAGAATAAACAAAAAAAATTATAATACTTACCAGTGAGATGATCATGATCACGAACACGATCTTCTCCAAGTACTGCGTCACATATCCAGCAGTTGACTGCGTTCTGAAACTCAAGCTCCAGTTCTGCTGTCATGCGAATTGGCTTGGTATCAGCCAAATCCTCCTGGATACTGCCTTCCAACTCTTTGAGACTGTCGAAAAAGTTGTGAATGGCATTCTCACTGCAGTCGTCAAACTCACCACGGACTTCACCGTTGGATCGGATGGCAGCATATCTACAAGAGCATAAAAGAAGAGGGAAAGTAAGAATAAGTGATTTTGAAAAAATGGAATCACACAAAATGCACATACTACAACACGAACACCTAATTTGTGAACAAGACAAGAAGGAATAACAGCAAGCACTGTGCAGGTATGAGTACAGCAAACATTAGTCAAAAACAACACTAACAACAAAACATACCTGATGCTGCATGGTACATGACGTGCTGTGCGTACAGTGCTGCTGCCATGCTGTTCCTCCATCGGCTCAATGATGGCCTCCGTATCAGCGTAAATGATATATGGAGCCACCATCCTGTGCTTCAAATTTGTATATTTGAGGATGGTGTCCTTTGCTGTGGGCATGACTACTGGCACGGGCTTCATCACCTGACATCTCTCGCTGTGATGCTGCAGGGAGTCTGCTGTTTTGTGTGCGGAGAGGCATCGGAAGCAGTAGTGTGTGGCGTGCCTGTTCTTATTCTCACATGCACGACTGAAGTTTTTTATCCATGTGAAGTGGTTGTCATGTAGAAGCAGGTTGATGGGAGTCTCCTGTCGCTCGCTGAGATAGAGTGGGTACAGATTCGACTCGTAGCCAAACACATTGATTGCAAGACCATTCTGTAACTCCACTTTGGGTACATCACGGAGCGTTGCAGGGAACATTACACCATCGAACCGCAGCTCATCAACGTACTGGGTGTACCTGGATACACGCTGTGGGTTGTTGTCGATGGGATGCATCGCTGACAATAACGCCCACATCAAACACCTGTCATCGTTGTTCTTTACGTTAATGATGGCCTTCTTTTTTTCTAATTTGGGCGGGATATCAGCTGCACCACCTACAGTACACCACAAAAATACAACGAAGGCTTTGCTCAGAGTAACACCACATCACAACTACACCCTCTCGACAATCACGAAAAACTGTACATCTAGTACAAAACAATACATCTACAACTTTCCACAAGAAATTCGACAGGCTTCGAACAAACACTGCCGGATGAACAGAAACTCACCTCGAAGAGGAGTGTACTTTGCTGTCGACACATCCAGCTGTCTCACTCGAGAAACGGTCCAGTTGGATCCGTTCTGCACCCACTTATCAATAAGACCAGTGATCCTCGCCACCATCGTCTTGACTGCACTATCAATATCCCCTTCGCTGAGGATCCGAGCCGGTCTACTTCTAAAAAACGGGACGGCAGACGTACTACCCGTGGCCGACTCTCGTGTCATCTCCACCCTCAAAACTAAAACCACCTTGAACGGGTGAGACTGAAGCTCCTCGAGGAGAACCTGTCTGAGCTCGTCATGATGGCTGCTGAAAAAGACGAGAGGATCAGTGCCTGAACCTGGCTCCGCTTCTTCGATTTAGTGCTATGTACCTTCACTTCAATTTGTCGATCCCCTAAGAAGCTCTTCAGCCATTTTACTGACGAAGCTGTAGCAATCTTACCGAATTTCTTTAGGAGTATAGAGTGGTCGACCCGGTCGAAAGCTTTCCTGAAATCTAGAGATATCAGGTCAAAATTAGTGCCATTATCAATATTTACAGCCATTGATTGGGTTAGCAAGATAAGTTGGTCCGTTACAGACTTGTTGCGTACATATGCGAATTGACCTTTACAAATTACACCATGGGTCATCAAGTATCGAAGTAGACGTTCCGAGAGAATCTTTTCCATTAGTTTCGCTATGCATGGGAGAAGGGATATAGGTCTGTAATTGGTAGGCTCTTTGGCGCAACCTCTATTCTTGTACACCGGTATTACAGTGGATGATTTCCAGGAGGACGGGAACACACCATCATCAAGGCTGTAGTTGAACAATACTGATAGTGATTGGGAAAGGATGTCGGCGAATTCCTTTAGTATACGGTTTGTCAGGTTGATGTCTGATGATGATTTATGTTGTTGCAGCCTTTTTGCTGCATCGAAGACTTCAACAGGGCGTATGTTTCCGAATCCAAATTTGTTTCCATCGACGTCGGCTTCATTGATTGTTATACTAGTTGCTACAGTATTTGGCGGCGTTGACTGAGTGGTGCATTGGCGGGCAAAGAAGGTACACAGCGTTTCGGCCTTCGCTTGATCTGTTTTGTGAATTTCATTGCCGTTCTGCAGGTCTGGAATTGCCTTTTTATTTGTTTGGTCAATATTGCATATTGCTTTGGCACGTTTCCACCACGCATAGCCACCCTTTCTTTCCTTGCCAAGCATTGTGTATCCGAGCGTTGACAAGTATGTGTCCTTGGCGGCTCTTAATGACCGGTGGTACAGGTTGCGCGAGAGTTTGTATGCAGCTCGTAAGGAATCGTTGAGTGGCTCCTTTCGGTGGAGCACATAGAGGCGGTTAGTTCGCTGACGTTGCGTCTTAAGTTTTTTTGTGAACCATGGTTGGTTCGACTGGGTGTTTTTCCGGCGTGTGATGGTCGTTGCTGCCTGAATTGCCTGGTCCAGCAGTGCAGAGTAGGCCATGCATCTGAAACTGATGTGCACGTTGGTGCCCTGCATGCATTCGGTCAATGGTAGTGTGCTCAGTTTCTGCCTGAGGAGGTGCATGTCAACCTTTCTGGAGACTGCGGCTGCGTTGACAGTTCTTCTAGAGTGGCGTTTCTCTGGTGGAGAATATGCGCAAAATAGAGGAAAGTGGTCTGCAATGGGCATGGATGTGTAACATGAAGTGACAAGATGGGGCATATTAGTTAAAATCAGGTCTAGGGACGGATTAGAATCTTTAGTTGGCCTCGTTCCATGGTTCTTGGAGACCATAGTGAAGCCATAGTCGTCAAAGGCGGACTGCATGTGTCTACCTGCAGTGTTCGTAGGGTCTGCGTTGTTCCACTCATTGTTCTTGGAGTTAAAGTCTCCCACGACAATTACTGGACGGTTGTCAACGAGGGGGTGAAGAGGACTGAATGAGTTGCAGAATGCAAGACTATCGTGTCTTGGAGGACGGTACATACAGGAAATGATTGTAGCTCCTGTTTCGACAGTTATCATCTCTGAATTGTTGCACTCTAGATCCCGGCGGCGCATAGCACAAAGGGCGGACGAAGAGAAGACTGCTACCCCACCACCACCCAAGTCGCTCCATGTAGTGCTGCACTGGGACCGGTCACGACGGAACAGGTCGTAACCCGGTATCTTAATGATCTCGCCTGGGATACACGAATTTAGCCATGTTTCCGTTATACACAAAATGTCTACTTTATGGTGGTCAAGGAGGTCTGTAATATCAGCCAATTTATGTTTCATACTACGACAGTTCAGGGTACATATCCGAATGCAAGAATTATTGTTATTGTTGTGGGGGGGGGGGATGCGTTTACTGGTGTGGTATCAGGTGGAGGTTGTTCTCTTACAAACGTTGAGTGGGGTTGGGCACGATAGGTGCGAGGCATGAAAACTGGTGCATGGGGATTGAGTGGGAACACGGTCGTGGCTGCTGTTGAGCGGGGTTGGGCACGATAGGTGCAAGGTATGAAGACTGGTGCATGGGGGTTGAGTGGGAACAAGGTCGTGGCTGCTGTTGAGCAGGGTTGGGCGCGATAGATGCGAGGTAAGAAGACTGGTGCATGGGGATTGAGTGGGAACACGGTCGATTAGTTGGTGGCTGTGGGCCCATTTGCCTCGCTGAAGTCCCATGGCCGAACCTGAATGGGCGCTGGCCAAAACCCATCTGCTTCGATGGCTGCACATTGGTCTTCACGGACTGTAAGCCTTGCAGCTTTTGTGCCTACATGCTTGCGAGAAGGAAAGGTGCGGCAAGCTGTGGGTGTGATGCCATTCTGGACACAGTGGGACGTTATGGAGTCTGCGTCGCAACTGTCATCAATTTGCTGTGCTCCGTCGATCTGCCAAATATTTTGTGCTGGATGTAAAGGGTCGGCCGGTAACCGTCTCCATTGACCGCCTCAAGCCGGCACATGTCTTGGAGTAGTGTTGCAGTCCCTGCTACAGTCTCATTCCTGGTCGCTCACGACCCACATTTTTTTCTTCTTCCTTTTTTTACTATGGAGTCGTGCTCTAGGAGGGGGGTAATGTGGTGACTTTAGCAGTTCCCATACCTGTAACTTTGCCGTTTTCACTCCTGGGTTTTCCATAAGCGGTGACTTTGATTTTTATGGCCATTTCCCGGAATTATAATGTGTACGCTACTTCTGGTTCAGATTCCAGATTGTACGCATATATCCCATCATGCATCCTAGTATTTCGCCAGGCATTTATACCGTAGCGTATCTGTATATAGGACATATACACACTGTCACTGTACTATGTCATACACACACAGATACAGATGTGTGTGTGTGTGTGTGTGTGTGTGTGTGTGTGTGTGTGTGTCTGTCTGTGTGTGTCTGTGTGTGTGTGTGTGTGTGTGTGTGTGTCTGTGTGTGTGTGTGTGTGTGTGTGTGCCAGCTAGTCCGGTTGGTGGGTACACTTATGCCTGATTGTGTTGGGTCTGTTGCCAACAGGCTCGGCTGCTTGAAGGTGTATTGTTGTATCTGCCACCTTTGTTGGTTTCAGGTTACTTTATATTTGAAGTATACATACCTGTTAACCATGGACTGCTTCTGGCTAGATTAACTCTTGTGTAATCAATGATGCTAGTGACGCTTAGATCAGATCCACTCTGATTTAGCCACCCACACTAGTAGCAAGTATTACCTTCACTGGGGGCAGGGGTAACTGCAGTTGGATCCCAGGACGGATACCCTGATGCCGTCAATCCTTTTTCTGCACCTTGTCCTCACCCACTTACTGAGGTGTGGTGAGCCCATAAGTGGGATAATTTTCAAGTCCACCCAGAGTTTTGGGGATTTAAGGGGGTGTCGGCCGTTGGACGGTTCAATAGCCAGTTGAGTCATCTTTCCAAGATTCCTTTTGAGTCTCTCTCCCCTCTCCCGGGGAGACCCCACGTGACCAGTTTTGGTAGTGAGCAACAAGTACAAGTACTATGTCATTACTACACATGTACACCCTTTTCCTTACTGGCCAAGACATTCTCAACCTAGAGCTTTAGGCCAGTAGATAGTTTGGTTTCATCGAAGGCAGTTGCCTTTCTATCTCGCTTTCATTGCTTTGTCAATATTACAGTAATAATACAACTCTATCGATTTACGCCATTTGTGTGCGTTTTAAGAGTTGTGCTAGGGCTAGGACCCTACAGTCTCACCAGCTGGTCCACCAGCTGTGTCCGACATCTCCGCTCAGCATGCACGGAAACGGAGTCGGAACAAGCAGTGAGAATTTGAAAGAAGCTAACACGACAACTGAAACATGCAACGTCAAAAGTAAAGAACTTCGAAGTGAGTTACTGTTTGTTGCCGATGAAAAAGTAACAGTTAGTTCCAAAAAAGTTTTATTCCAAATGTGCAGCCCTGGCGCGTTGACGACGTGCACAACGAGCAGTTGAGCACGTGTCCAGAACGATCACGTGATTGCACACAAATCATCCGCGGAATGCGCGGATCCGCGCAGCGAGCCTAGCGCGTGGGCCTGGCCTGACCTTTTTTTTTTTTTTTTTTTTTTTTTTTTTTTTTTTTGTGGAAAAATCCTGACGGGTTCATTTGCACCCTTCGCACCCCCCTGGTCTGGATATCCCCGGATCCGCCCCTGAATTTTGTTGACAGTTGTTGTTTCTTCCTTCGATTGGGCAAGACACGATAATGTGCCAACCCAGCCAGCAATGAGACACATGCATTTGTATCCATCAGGGCTATTGTAAGCCTTTAGAGAGTCCTTTGCATATGTGCTGGGGACGTTCACTAAATTAATATTTAGAGAGGCCTGGATACCCAACGCAGTGGGATTGGCTGAAAGGTCTTCGTCCATAGGCAAATATGGATCAATGTACTGGGCCCACGGATTCTGTCAATCTTCTCGCGGCAACGCTTCTTCAAGGCTGGAATAAACAGTAGAGTAACTGCGGCTAGTAATCCTCGCGACTTACCGAAACTATTCACCACATCAAAGAAAAGCAAAAGTGCTTCACCACTGCGACGGCCTGCAACATCATTTGAACCGTACACCGAACAACACATTTGATTCTCTTTTTGCCACCCAAGCACATTTTACCGTAGGACAAGGACTTGTCATATGGGTGATCTTTGGGTGGACACCGGGTAGGCGCCAAAAAGGTGATGTAATGGAAAGTCCTCTATATAAAAAAAAAAAAATAAATTTCACGGTTCGCGTGAGACTCGGCTGGAAGCCGAGTTTTCCGCATCCGCCGTGGGAACGCCACCAACCTTGTAGGATCAAAGGCGCAGATGCAGCGCCTGAACGGTGGGAGGTGAGTAGATCAGACCCACCACCAAGTGGTCAAAGACCGAAATCCCATATATGCGTATGCACATATACCATTGCCTTCTTCTTCTCCAAAACTTGACTTGAGTTAGAGAAGAGTTTGTTGTCTTAGCAAGTGACGAAAAGCAACAGCATCTTTGCAGCATTCCTCCTGTGTGTGGATCGGCACTTCCGCACGTCTTGTGAGCCTTTGCACCCCCGGTGAGAAATAAAATCGGGGGACGTAGTTGTCCAAGGATAAACTGTTTGACACACTTATTATCTTTTGTGGCGACACCATAATTCTTCTTCCCGGTTTTGTCTGTTTGTTGTTTGCGAACATCTGTGGATAGTGCGAGGTTTGACAGTCGCTGCAATCCTTCTTCCGTGCGCGGACAGTTGACGTGGTCATGTCGGCGCTGACAATGGTGAGTCCAACGGCTACGAATGTGTTTTTTTTTATTGATGTAACGACCACGGTTTCCACGAACTATTGTTCTTTTTCATGTGGTCGGGTAGACTTGGTTTGACCGAGTTTTCGGTGTCTGTGGGAACGCCAACAGCTTGTATTTTGTATTTGTGTTGTATGTTCTTACTTGAGCATTCCCAAAAGACACTAAGATTTTCTTACCGAGTGCCCAAGATGAATGGATGTGTTCAGTTCCTGGCGAAATGAATTGGGGAGATGGTTAGCGGGAAGGGATTCGACAACCGCATGAGAGCGGTCAGCACCAAGGAATGAAAATTTAATAGATTTGTATCCACCTTGAGTTTGCACGATGGGTAAGGAAAGGAAACTATTGACTTGGCCTCGGCTGAATCTATCTGTGTGAGAGTAGTCACGGCGAAGGGAGAACAATCAGTCATGTCAGAGACAGCTCCAAGAATCACGGCGCAGACGCACCTCCAAAGGTGGGGAATATGTAGACAAGGCCTCGCCATCGAGTGGTCAAAGACGGAAAATTGCACTCGATAGTAGAGAGGTTCTGCTACACGGAACTACGTACCAAACTCCGTGTCAACTGCAGTGAAGTTTGACACGGATTTTTCGTACGTTGCACCGGTTCTGCTGTCCGTAGCATGCTCGTAGCATGCTCGAGCACCCCGCCACATGTACTCTGTACGCTCAGTTTTCACACGGAGTCCAGTCCGTATGAAGCGCGCTTCACACGGAAAACGGTATGAAAAAATCTGTATGAAACTTGATCCCGTACCGCGGCGAGGTTTCCATACGTACTTTGGCACGTTTTACCATGTGGCAGAACCTCTCTAGTACGGAGGTTCTAACGTCACGAATTTCTGGATCGAGTTCGCGAACATGTCAGTTCGCGAAATTGATTGCGAACTTTCGCATGTTTGGAAAAGCTGTCGAAACACAAATCGCGGATTTGTATCGGGACAGTCATAATTGTACTACGTCGTACTACCGATAAACATGTACGAACTGTCAACGTCGAATTCTGTTTGTTAACCTTTTGAGCTCGGGCCCATTGAAAACCTCTGCCTCGCAGTAACATTTTTAAATTCACGCTATGTGAGCAAACTTGATTTCAAACGATTCTTTCATGTATCCTGAGCACAGAACTGTTTTTGTTTTGGAAATAGAACAAAAATTACAAAGGTTGTGACCGTTTTCAGAAAGGTAGTTATACGCGAAATTGGTTATTTGAAAAGTATGCACGCGCATGTAACTCCAGTTCAAAATTACGGAGCGACTCGCATTTTTTTACTGCACTCGTACATCCTAGGAGTCCTCTGTGCAGCGGTACAGCTCGAGGCCACGCCACGGAAGAAACGCGATATCGATGTAGTTCCGTACTGACTCGTGACGTTCTACAGTCGTCGCCAAAAAAATCCGGCCAATGCCATGGATAAGCGTACATGGTAGGTAGATCTACGCGGTACTTCATCTCGGGTTCATGCACTGGAGTGGCACCATGCATGCACTAGGCCACTGGACAGCACTGAACAGTACGACTCGTACAGACACTCTGCGCCGCACTCTGCCTGCTGCACAGCCTCCAGCCGGGTTGAGCACTGCGCTGAGTCTGGTTAGCATTTTACCGTTCACGCTATTTTCGACGGTCGGCCTGCACCGTCAAAAGTATCCGAACGGTTCGGGTCCCTTCTCATCAAGGATTATACAGGGAATGGCTCAAGTTGGAAAGACTAAAACTTATATAGCGTAAAGATAATGAGATAACAACACTCGTGACAAGGTGGAAAATTATCAAGTTCAGCACGACACAAAACTCGAAGGAAAATAATAATGGTGACAACAACATAGTGAGCAAATTAAGTTACACTGTTAACACCTCGACGAGGAGTAACACCAAACAATCCGCGATATGCGTGTTAGAACAAAATGGCATCACGATTTATTGAAAGTGGTATAGTTGGTGGCACGAGTGTTCAAAACCATTTGAACTTCATACTGTTCGTCTTCTTTTTGACATGCTCTCTTTCCATCGTCCTTAGCTTTTGTTTGTTGTCAGCTGTTTTAGCTTTCTCCTATACCTCTGGGGGATGCCAAGTGATGGTTTTGAGAGACTGGTGATGGCTGTGAGCGAGAGTTTGACGATCGGCGTCGTCCTCGCTATAGCGATGAAAATACTAGTTACTGCGCACCTGGCAGATATCACAACATGTCGGAGCGTCCAGGAGCAAAGGAATCTTGGGTTTTCACTGGAATCTAGTTCCTCCAGCATCGTGTAGCCCACCGTCGGTGAATGGCCGTCCAGAAAGATCGAACCTGGCCTTCTGCAGCATCTCGCAGTCCTGCGAAGCACACCGTGTACGCCTGCCATGTATTGTACAAATAAAACTCATGCAGCAGTGGACTCTACATTGATGAGTCTCAGCCTGTATCATTGTATGCTGCAAAAGACACAGGAAATGTGACTGGTGTCTGTACACTGGACGCCAACACCCCAGTTTTCTCCTGCAGGATCTGTTTGACATTGACATTATGCAGTGGGTCGACATTGACCTGGTTTGGCAGCTATCGTAATAGTATCTGCCTGGTTGGATGTAGCAGGTTGGCGTTTGCTCGTCGTCCAGTCCGGGATTTTCTTGTAACTCACGGTGGAGTACGCGCAGGGTTTGTGACCATCCCTGTTCACTTCAATATTATACAAACACAACGTTCCCTTTGTCACTCATCTTATCCCGAGTACTGAATTTGCTGACGATATTGCACCACACTTGTCACAACCTACCGTCATTGCTGACGGTGGCGACTGGTTCGTCAATGGCGGTGACCACGCTGACTGACTAGCTTCAAGACAGCGGCCTCGTTGTCAACCCAGCCTAAACGCAGATTTTGTTTCCTGTGTCTTTTGAAGAATACAGGATAGACTCATCACTATAGAGTCCACTACTTCGTGATTTTTATTTGTACAATACATGACAGGCGTATTCAGTGTGCCTCGCAGGACTGCGAGATGCTACAGAAGACCAGGTTCGACCTTTCTGGACCGCCATTCACCGACGGTGGGCTACACGATGCTGGATGAACTAGATTCCAGTGAAAACCCAAGATTCCTTTGCTCCTGGACGCTCCGACATGTTGTGATATCTGCCAGGTGCGCAGTAACTAGTATTTTCATCGCTATAGCGAGGACGCCGCCGATTGTCAAACTCTCGCTCACAGCCATCACCAGTCTCTCAAAACCATCACTTGGCATCCCCCAGAGGTATAGGAGAAAGCTAAAACAGCTCACAACAAACAAAAGCTAAGGACGATGGAAAGAGAGCATGTCAAAAAGAAGACGAACAGTATGAAGTTCAAATGGTTTTGAACACTCGTGCCACCAACTATACCACTGGACAGGAGACTGCACTCTTGAACATTATCCTTTCATGTTGTCACATGTTGCACGTTGATACTATTAGTGTATTGTAGTTACGAATTGTGTACAGAACTGTCACATGCTGCAAGGGCAGTATTGTCAAGACATGCTAGGTCGCTTGCAATACTGGTGCGTTGCGTATTACTGCTATGTATTTCGCGAGTGTAATATTTATTTGTTAGTCTGTTAGAATTACATCACGAGTGCATATCTGTTACGTCTACATCGAGACACATTTTATGACACAGTACTTGCTATGCGTGTTCGTACCACGACATGTTCACGAGCGGAATATCTTGTGAATTGTTCTAATGTATTATATAAGTAGAATTGTTGACACACTAATTGGTTGCAATGTACATGTGTAACTCGTGTACTCTCAGCACTCGAAGCACATACTTGTTGTTACGTAAGTAGTTATCAATATTCGTTCATTGTCTCACAAGGAGAAGAAGAAGACAAGGCAGTGCGAGTATGCGCTCAGCCTATCCATGCATTCCTACGGTGTACTATTTATGAGTATACAAATTACGTGTCATAAAGTAGCCATGCTACACTATCCTCCTCCTACCAAAAATTCACGCCCTCGTGAATAGAGAAAGAAAACAGAAACATAAAAAATAAAATAACTCAGGACATAGCAAAATCAGTAAACCGAGCAGGCAGTCCAGCATTGCGAGCAAGATGGGCTCTGGTTGACTGCGGGAGCGTAGACGACAGCGGACTATGGTTGCTGTCGAGGGCATGTGGGACATACTGAGGCATCACTGGAGCAGCAGGTACTGGATCCTCCAGCGGCAGGGACGCAGATGGCGACGGCAAGTAAGCGAGTTTCAAGCGGTTGAAATGCAGCGTCTTATGGCGACCATCAACATCGACAACGTAGGACGTTGATCCAAAGACGGACACAATACGAAATGGACCACGCCAAGGGCGGTGGAATTTGCGGTGTTCACCAGGGTGAATGACAGCATCCTTTACGTAAACAAACTGGCCAGCAGCTAATGGTGCACCCTTGGTTCGGCGGTTGTAATGTTCTTCCTGGTGCTCATGGGACAGATCAGCGAGCTCTCGAGCTTGAGCATGTACAACACGCAACGCAAACTGTAAATGGCGAACGTAACTAGTGGATTCAAGAGACGCTGGTTGTGGCAAACCAAACACAACATCTGCCGGCAAACGCAATTCAGTGCCGTACAACAACTTAGCAGGACTGTGACCCGTGGACGCATGGACAGCAGAATGGTACGAAAGCAAGACAAGAGAGAAGGTAGCATCCCACTCAATAGATGTAGGGGTGATGTGCGCACGGAGTAGACCGAGCAAAGTGCGATTGAGCCGCTCTACAAGTCCGTCACCTTCCGGATGGTAGGGAGTAGTACGGGTCTTGTGAATACCCAGCAGACGACATAATTCAGCAAAAAGCTTAGACTCAAACTGCGGACCCTGGTCGGAATGCAGTTGCTCAGGGGATCCAAACCGTGCTATCCAGCCATTGACAACAGCCACAGCGACAGCTTCTGCAGTAACGGATTGGAGTGGAAAAGCTTCTGCCCACCGAGTGAAGTAATCAGCCA